GTCTGCAAATCTAGTTCTCTCTTCAACATATTCATCCACTTTTCCTCCACACTCTTATGCCGTGGAGAATTCCACAGGTTTACCAGCCTGACTGAAGAAATTGTTTGGGGTTTTCTGTGGCTCAGTGGGATGTACTCTCACCTGCAAGGCAGAATGTCATGGGCTTCAACTCCCACTCTACAGATCCAAGCACCCCCTGTATGCTGATACATCAATGGAACACTGACCGAGTACTGCCCTGTCAAATGTACCAGCTTGGAGATGTCATGTTAAACGGAGGTCCCATCTTCCCTCACCGGTGAATGTAAATGGTCTGATAACTGCTATCCTGAAGTACAGCAGGGCAGTTCTACTGAGTGACTTGGGCAATGCTTACTTGATTGAAACATAGAGTCCTGAGGGATCCTGACATGGTAAATATGGAGAGAATGTTTTCTTTTACGGGAGAATTCAGAACTAGGGGTCACTGTTTGAAAAAAATACAGGGGTTGTACGTTTAATTCAGTGATGATGGAAAAAGAAATTCTCGGAGCAATATGAATCGTTGGAACCTTCTCATTTAAAAGGTGGTGGGAGATGAGTTTTTGAATATTTCTAATTCAGGGGTTGATAGACTCCTGTTAAGGAGAAGAGGGAGGGATTGAAAGGTTGTCAGGGGAAACAAAAAGTTGGATTCAAGGCTACAATCAGATTAGCCATGAACTTACTGAATGGTGGAACAGGTCTGAGGAGCTGAATGGCCTAGTCCTGCTCTTAATACATCAATTTGTATTTATCACATTGCTGCTTGTGAGAGTTAGTGGTGGTCACACCGATTGCACTACAACCTACTTAGTAACTAGACTTGAGAAATACTACATCAGCTGTCAAATGATTTGTTGTTTCTTGAAGATGCAAATGACTTGTATAGGCCATGTCTTCTGTTTTTTTCTGTATTTTTGATTGAGACTGAAATGGAGGGGGGGAGAGCTGTTTTCAAAGCCAAGGATTGTGGGAAGGATTGGTGCACTTTTAAAAGCACATCACTCACACTCATTACAAATATTGTTTTCACTGCGGTTTGTTCAAGCTGTGAAGGGAGTTTACCACCAGTGAGCTGGAACCAGGTAGATTTAACCATTCGGCATAGGAACTGAAAGGAGGCCATTCAGCCCATCAAGTCTGCTCCACCATTCAATGGTCACCTCTCATTATTCTAAATTCCAATGGGAGGCCCAACCTAATCATCTTGTCCTCATCAGACAGTCCCTCTACGTCCAGGATCAGCCGAGTGAACCTTCTTGGGACCTGCCTCCAATACCAGTCTATCCTCCCATAGTGAGGGGCCCAAAACTGTTCACAGTATTCCAGCTGTGGTCTGACTAGTGCCTTGTGTAGCTTTAACCAAAACCTCACCTGCCTTTGGGTCTGTTGCACTCCTCAAGTGATCATTAAAGGGTTTCAGCCTACTCCCGCGCCAGTATTTTACCCCAGGCTGGGAGCCAGGCCCATGAATTCCGTCAATCTGCCTGTTTTAGTTGCATGTCTGGTACCGGGCTAAGAACAGGGATCCATCCAAATTTGGGGCCGTTTGCAGCAAACCCTCTCCATGCCCCCCCATCCGCCCCGAGAGCATTCCCTTTACTGAGGGGCTCAATCCAGACATACCTGAGCCCCTCAGCTTTGAGGATTGCCTGTAGTCCCAGCAGTGACCACTGCTCCTGGCTGGTGCTGCTGGGACTGTAGAGCTGTCAATCAGCCAGAGACTGTCCAAGGGGGGGGACTCTGTGCCACGAAAGGGAGTCTTTGGGATTGAGGGAGCCTCTCCCTCCCCTTCACTCAGCCCCAGGGGACTGCAGCATCCTGTAAAAACAGGCCATAGAGAGAGAGACGAATCATTGTGACACCGTAGAAGGCAACTCAGCCCATTGAGTCCATGCTGGCTCTGACTTGAGTCAAGATGCTGGTTCTAATGGCAGCAATCCCTTCGTGTTTACTGAGCAAAGTGCAGCTCACTCCCTGTGACGTAGCATTTCCCAATCAGTTGGAGCGGTGAGTAAATTACTGAATGAGTGATCCAGTGAAAGCTACATTGAAATCAACAATTCTGGAAGTTTGAGGGAAAGAGATGTGAAGATGGCAGATGAGAGATACAAAGGATTTTGGACAGGAGGAAAAGTAACCCCTGATTCCTGTAATGAGTCATATCTATCCATGACTGTATTAAGGAATACAGAGCCAATCAAACCATTTTTATGGCAAACGATGTAATTTTTTTCTCCAGAAGGTGTATTGGAAGTCAAAGATTATATCCATTTCTATGTATGACATGCACTTAGAATGTGACTTAATGCACAAGAAAATGATGGTCAGATTCATTCAGGAATTAACTGTGGATAGGGTTGATTTACTCAGAGGTTATAATGTGGCAGAAGCAAAATTTGTTGTTTGACCCAATGTCACAGGAAGTCTGAGTGAGGTTAAAGAGGCAGAACACGTTCCAGATATTTTCCTTCATGTGCAGTGACCACAGCAACAGCTAAAATAAGTCCATTAGCAGGCATCAATATGCAGTTGATGGAGTCATGGAAATTTTCTTTAACAATGGGGTAACTCAAATAAATTGTTTAGTAAATCTTCTTCGATTGAGGCAGATCTGGGGTTAAGCAAGTTCACACCATCAGCTCACCCTGAAGCTGAGGGAGTTCTAGAGTGTTAGGATGTTCAAAATGGAATTCTACTGAGGAAGCAAAGACATCCTCACAAACCTGCAAAGGAATATTAGATACAATGATGGAGTGCAGAACTGTGCGTATATCCAGCAGGCTCTGAGACTGTTGGATCTTGGTCTCCATGACCAGCTCCCTGTCTGTCCATGCAGATAGCCATCACATTCCTGAGGCAGTAAGGTCCTGATGGCATTGCTGCAGACCTGTAGCCTTTGTGTCAGGTTGCCCAGTGCTCCCGACAAAGGTGCCTGCTCTTCCTGTGTCTGCTTCTGTACGTTAATGAAGTGGCAAATTGCTGACACGTCGGGGTCCTCTCCTGCCTGGGCTGAGCAGGTGTTTTTTCTCTGACATTCCTTGGAATGCCAGAGACATGGTGGTGGAAAGGTGCCTTCCTGAACCAGCTGCAGAGATGTGGCAGCAAATGCTCCCGACTCTAATGTGGAGAGAAGACCCACCAAGCTGAGAGTGTCTGACTTGGTGGGTGGTGCAGGAGGCAGCCTTGCCAATGCTTTCTGTGAGATAGAGGAGGGGATGTGTTACAGCCCCACACTCTTCTTTCAGTCATTACAGCCAGTTGAAGGGAACTAAAGGTTGTTTCCCCTACTGGGAGAGTCTAGGACCAGAGGGTATCATCTTGGAATAACGGTCACGTACACAGATTTTTAATCAGAAAGGGAATCAAAGGTTATGGGGAAAAGACAGGAAAGTGAAGTTGAGGAGACTTGACAGGGGAGATTCAGAATGGTTGCTTTCCCTTTTGGGAGAGTCTAGGAAGACAGAGTAAAATCTTGGAACAAGGAGTCACATGTTCACTCAGAGGGGAGTGAATCTGTGGAAGGGCTGTTAAGGCTGGCTCATTAAGTACATTCAAGGCTGAGATAGACAGATTTTTAATCGGGAAGGGAATCAAGCATTATGGGGAAAGGGCAGGAAGGTGGAGTTGAGAATGATCAGATCAGCTGTGATCTCATTGAGTGGTGGAGTGAAGGGCTGAATGGCCTAATTCTGCTCCTATGGCTTATGGTAACAGCTGATTGTCGGATTGTTAGAGCTCTGATCGCTGCTGGCCATCAGCTTTTACATCCTGCTCACTCTTCGTTCTACCTTTTTGCTTCTGCAGCTCAGCGTGGAATTTCACGCGGTGTTCCTTCAGCTTGCTCCCTGCCTCTTGCTTCAGGTCCAGGTGCATGTATCCTTCGTCGTGATCATAACGTGGCCACAATATCAGCCCTTCCCCGTTAGGATCACTGTAATCAAGGTAATTTCACACGTTAGGGACATGGGACACAGGATCTGTCTGGCCCAGAGACACATCCCCAACCCATTTTTCCCTTCCCCTCTCGTATCTCACTGGGTAGAACACAAAACCCGCCTGTCCCTGAGTCACACAGAGATCCCAGATTGAAGTCTGGCTCTGTTGCAAGTTTGTTAGCTTTAGTGAGGGTAGTGATTGTGCCTTTTGACTTGGTGTTCCTCGGTTTTTTGGATATTGTTGGAGACAGCCTGTCGTTGGAGAGAAGAGAGACAGTGGCATTGTGGCAATTTCACTGGACAAGTGATCCAGAGGCCCAGGCTAATGGTCTGGGGACCTAGGTTCAAATCCCACCTGGCAGCTGGTCGAATTTAAATTCAACTAATAAATCTGGAGTTGGAAGCTAGTCTCAGGAATGTAGACCACAAAATTAGAAACGATTGCTGTAAAAACCCATCGGGTTCACTACTGCCCGTTATGGAAGGAAATCTGAGATAGTAGGAACTGCAGATGCTGCAGAATCCGAGACAACAAGGTGCAGAGCTGGATGAACACAGCAGGCCAAGCAGCAAGAAATCTACCATCTTTACCTGGTCTGACCTACACATGGCTCAGTTTGAGGAAGATTAAGGCTGGACGACAAATGCCAACCTTGCTAGCAACCAATCACAAAATTATTATGGTTTAGATAGAGGCTGTTTGGCCTATCATGTCTGCATCGTCTTTCCTAGTGACTTTTGCAGGATTATTGAAGAAGGCAAGGGAATGCTACCATCTTCCTTCCCAAATAACTATCCAATAGCTTTTTGAAAGCCTCAACTGAACCTGGGGAGGAATCTCTTCTCAGCACAGTCAATCTGTAGAATTCTTAACTGCTTGTCGAGGCTGGATCATTAAATACATTCAAGGCTGAGAGAAAAAGAAGAGAATCAAGGGTTATGGGGAAAAGGTAGGAAACTGGAATTGAGGATTATCAGATCAGTCATTATGTTATCGAATGGCAGAGCAGACATGATGGGCCAAATGGCCACTTCTGTTCTGATATCTTATAGAACCGAAAGGACCAAATGAATCAGTGTTGCTCCTCAAACCATTATTACATGATTAGTCAGTCCCATCGCTGTGGATCTGGAGTCACATGGGAGGCCAGACCAGGTAAAGATGGCAGATTTCCCTCCCTGAAGGACATTAATGAGCCAGGTGGGTTTTTACAAGCATTGATGATGGTTTCTTGGTGCCCGTGAAGCTTTACATTTCAGGTTTATTTAATTTGAACTTGCTTCCAGATCATGAGGCTGGTTTCTCGGTTTCCTAGTCCAGTGACATAACCACTAGGCTACTGCTCCCAGCAACTGGAAATACCATCACCACATCCACCCTGTTCAACTCCTTTATAACATTAAAGGTCTCTATTAGGTCACCCGTTAGCCTTTACTTATCTAGACAGAAGAGCCCCAGCCTGTTCTGTGCCTCGCTGAGATACAACTTACCCTTTCCTTGCAAAGTTAGCCCAGTAAGACATCACTGTTCTGCTCAGAGCCAGCTCCTCTTCAGTGGCATTTCCTGCAGGAGAGGTCACAACAAACTGAGGTAATTGTTGGGAGATTAAACATGCTGCAGCTATCCAGCTCTGACAGAAAGTTATCAACAAGAAATGTTAACTCATTGTTGTATAAATTCTTTCATGGGATGTGGGTGTCACTGGAAGGGTCAGCTTTTGTCTCTCGCTACTTATCCTTGAACTGAGAGGATTGCGAGGCCCAATTCCAAAGGCAGTTAAGAGTCAAACATGGTGGGATTCGAACCCATGTCTGCAAAGCAATAGCCTGGGCCTCTCCTGATGTCTCCACTATGGCACCTCCTCACTGACTTTGAAATGTTGGAATACAGGTTGTGGTAATTGGACATTTAAACTAAAAATTAAACATGCTCAAAAGATTCAGCAGGCCAGGCAGCATTGCTGAAAGGTAACCTTGACCTCAACCATTAATACTGTTTCTCTCCACAGGTGCTGCCTAAAGTCAGATAACACTGACTTGTTTAAAAAAGGACCAGCATGAGGCCATTCAACCCTTCAATCCAGTTCTATCTGTCAATGAGGTTGTGGCTGATTTGAATCTTATCTCCATTCACCCACCTTGGCTTCTGTGCCTCTGTGCAGCAAACGTCTATCAATCTCTGATTGAAACCTCCCCCAACCACGAGATCCAGCATCTAGAGCTTTATGTGGGAGACAGTTCCACTCCTTGACCAGCTTTTATTAATAAACTGCAAGCTCCAAAGACATTCTGTCCTCTTCTGTTTCACTCAGTGATGTGTTGCCTTGGGTAATACACTGCCCCATTTGAGATAAATCAATCCCGCCAACGTTCTCATGTATCAGTCCTGTATTCTTCCCCACGCCAATACATTGTTTCTTAGGCGCTGTTTCTGAAACTGGATAATGTCACTCCCAACATGCTCCAAACAGGGCTTTGTATCACTGGAGCAGTCATTCACCCCCTCTATAATCTTGCCCTCTCGCATAAACACTAACGTTCCCTTTTGATTACATTGTCGTATCTGAACGCAAACTGCCTCCCATTAGAATCTTACACTGTTATCTTTTGGAACTAACTCAAGGCTTGGTTGAAACCCAATCTGGTAACCTTGGGAAAAGGAGATTATATGGAGTATTCGCTACAGGTTAGAAGAATGAGAGACGATCTGACTGAAATGTGTAGAATTCTGACAGGACTTAACGGAATCAAAGGTTATTGAGGGTTGGAGGGAATGTGGAGTTGAGGTCATAACTAGATAAACCACGATGTCAGTAAATAGTGGGAGCAGGTTCGAGGGGCCGAATGGCCAACTGCTTTTCCAATTCACATGCAGATAGGGTAGATGCTGAGAAAATATTTCCCTCAGCTAGACAGTCTAAAACCAGTGGCAATAGGCTCAGGAGAAGGGGCCAGCTATTTAAGATTAAGTTGAGAAATCTTTTCGATGATTTTTAAAAAAATTTCACCTATTTTTCTAATCAGCCCACTCAGAGATATTATTACCCACCTCTGGAGCAGGTGGGACCCGAACCCAAGCCTCCTGGCCCAGTGGTAGAGACACTACCACTGTGACACACGAAGGCACCCTTTCATTTCTAAGGTTGTGAATTTTCAAAATTCTATATCCCAGAGAGCTGTGGATACTCAGGTCTAGATGGAGTGCCTCCAAAAAGACAGAAAATCCCTTTCTCATGGGGCTAAAGAGAGGGTCGGGGGGTGGTTTGTGTTCATGCCTGTGTGGTTCACAGAGGTAACTAGGTGATTAAATCAGCAGCTATCTCCTTCCAAGTTGGACTTTCGTAACCTAGGAATGTGGAATGGAAAGTGTGCACTGTAGACCTGGTGAGAACACGTCTGAACTTTCTTTATGTATTTAATCGGCTTCGTCCTTTAAGGTCCCTCCATTTGAATATGGTTCCAAGATTGTATTGGGTGAGCTGGAGGAGAACCGACAGATGATGTTGAGGAAAGCAAGGCGTTTTTAAAACTGTTAAAGATCGGCATCTACATGAATAAAAAGCACATAAACACATTAACTATCAAGCTCATTAGAGCTGACAATGAGATCTATCCATAGCATCTGTCAAAAATGCCCCAAGGACCTGGCATAAGCAATGGCAAAGGAAGCAGCCAAGGTGTCAAATTATTTAAAAGTCCTGTCCTTTAAGTCTTTGATTAAAAAATGTCCAGAGCATTAGGTACAAAATTGCTTGCTATTTTTATTCTGTTTAAATTTTTGACACAGTGCCATACTCCCAAGGTAAGGTTGCAATTACAACGCAGAGGGAAGGCATTCAGCCCACTGTGTCTTTATCATCACCTACCCCACTTTCAAAATAGCTAGCCACACCACCCTCCAGGGACTGAAAAGTTGACAAACATTTCTGGAAAGTTCTAAACTATTCTGATCTATTCATCATTCTCCTGGGATGCTTTGTCCCTACAATCCACAAACAGAAGATAAACAGCACAGGAGATGGCTTCCCCACTTCGTTCTGAACAAACTTATCATGCCATCACTGGCAGTAATGGCACTACTTCTCTCATATAAACAAATATGGTTGTGGCCATGGAAGTTAGTTAACGTGCCTAATCTAGGGACCTTGTCACAAGACCAGCCTCCGAATAGTTCAATTGTAGCTTCTGGACTGCCTTGCTGTAGACTAGGGAGAGCTCGTACACTGTGAGCAACACTGCCTTCAAGATTCTTTTTCGAGAAGACCAGACTCCAGGCTCAGCTGAACCAGCCTTTCACCTCAACCTCTCCAAAATCTGATTTCTGGGAGAAATCCTATATTCATTTAAAATTGGATCAACCACATTGCTATGTTCCATAAGTATGAGATAGAATTTGCAAGATTAGATTATAGGCAAGAATCTTCACTGGTCACAAACTTGCTGGGCTCAATCAAATGATGTGAATAAATGTTTATAACTCTGAGTTTTAAAGTATTCCTAATTGTGGCCTCTTCTTTCTTCTTTGTATGCTTGTGTATGTGTAGTTCCTCAATGCATGAGGAAACCATGTTTTAATTTTACCATGAAAGCAAGTTTTTGCAGGTTACACAAAAATTGGATTTCACAAACAAAAGGTCTGGGGGAGAAACACAGCACCACTGATTTCAAGAGGATAGAGAAAAATATGAACAACTAGAAAACATCTTTGTTAACCGACCAAAGAAAAAAAAGTAACCCAATTCACTTCTTTGCCTTGTCTGTAACAGTCAGTAAACAGAGAGTATGAAACTCTCATAATTGACAAAGGAATGGTAGCCAGAGGAGGGGTAGTGTTGTGATCTGGAAGGCACTGACAGAAAGATGAAGGTCTGAGCATTGATTCACAGTTATACAGCGATCACGATTCTCAGTGTCAATAACTATACTTATTATACCCAGTCAAGACCTGGTCAAAGATTATACAGCTTCTGTGTCAATTTCATCAAACACTATAATTTGGTCAGAGGGAGTGACACTGAGTTAGTGCTACAGGTCACCATGACCCTTCATGAAAGAAGCTCTGACTGATGAACAGTCATTGTCCTGAAATGTTAACACTCTCCACAGCTGCTGTTTCCTTAAGATTTTAGTTTTTATTTCAGATTTCTAGCACGTGCAATTTTTTCCTTTAGGACTAACATTACCTGTTGGGAGGCTTTTCCAGGGAATTACTGAGCCACAGATGATGCTCATTAAACCCAAGCACCACACCCCCCCCAGCCCGGTGTCAGTGAGATCGAAAACCATACTTGGCTGAACGAGCAGGACTTCAAAACGTGGCAAAATAAACCCAGTAAAACTCCAGGGGATATTCTCACCTAATAGTTTAATATCATTGTTCCAAAACGGAGCACCAAACACAAATCCGAGCTCATCACTGTGGTCAGACTTGACAAAGTCAGGCCGGCTGTTTCCATATACACTTGGTCGGTGCTGAAACTCGTACAAGAAGACTGCATTGCCAGCATCTGCAAAGAGCAAACAGAAAGATTAACCTCTTAAATCATACACAGAGTCTCAAGAAACTGAGATTGTTTTCCTGAGAGCAGAAAAAGCTAAGGAGGGCTCTCTCTCTCTCTCGGGAGCAGAAACCCTGGCTGTTTTCCCCTCTCCCTCTCTCTAACACCACTGTTACTGATCCACAGTCCCGAGTCTTCATCGGCTAATGCAAGTCCCACTGGAGTCAGAATTTAGAAGCTGGGACAGGTCCCAGAAAGCTGGAAAGAGGCATTCCCAACTCAGAATGGGTTTACCCTGGGTTTGGGAGTCTGTGGAAGTGATACAGTAGTGGGCTGGATAAGGGTAGTGCCCCATACTGCCTTATCCTTTTCGATAGGGGAAAGCAATGGCCTAGTGGTATTGTCGCTAGACTACTAGTCCAGAGATCCAGGTAATGTTCTGGGGACCTGGGTTCGAATCCCACCATGGCAGATGGTGGTATTTGAATTCAATAAATATCTGAATTAAGAGTCTAACCATGACCATGAATCCATTGCTGATTGTTGGAAAAACCCATCTGGTTCACTAATGTCCTTTAGGGAAGGGAACTGCCATCCTTACCTGGTCTGGGCTACATGTGACTCTAGACCCACAGCAATGTGGTTGACTCTGAACTGCCCTCTAGACAATAAATGCTGGCCTAGCCAGAGACACCCTCATCCTGTTAATGAATAAAAAAATAGGGGAGAAGTTGCGGTCAATAAAAGGACTATGGTAAAAAAGCAGAGTCAGAGAGTTCTGCTCCAACAATACACAACATGATCAGACCATCAGGACAAAGCAGCCTGCTTGATCAGGAGCTCATCCACCACCTTTAACATTCACTCCCTACACAATGATGCATTAGGGCAGCAATGTATATGTTTCACTGCATTAACTCTCCAAGTCTCCATCAACAGCAGCTTTCAAACCTGTGGCCTCTACGGAAGGATAGGGCCAGTAGATACATAGGGAACACCACCAGCTGCAGGTTCCCTTCCAAACTACTCACCATCCTGACCTGGGAACGTATCATGGTTCCCTCAGTGTCGCTGGGACAAAATCTGAACTTCTCCCGAAACAAAGAACACAGATCGTAGAATAGTACAACACAAGAACAGACCCTTCGGCCCACCATGTCTGTGCCACCAAGTTGCCATTCTAAACTAATCCCATCTGCCTGCACATGGTCCAAATTCCTCCATTCCCTGCCTGTTCATGTGTCTAAATGCCTATTAAATGCTGCTACTGTCTCTGCTTCTACCACCTCATGGGGCAGCATATTTCAGACATTCCCCATCCTGTGTAAAAATCCTTGCCTCACACGTCTCCTTTAAACTTGCCCCCTCTTACTTCAAACCTATGTCCCTGAGTATTGGGCATTTCTACCCTGGGAAGAAGACACTGACTATCCATTCTATCCATGCATCTCACAATTTTATATATTTCTGTCAGGTCACCCCTCAGCCTCCAGTGCTCTAGCACAAACAAAGAGTAAAGGAGTGTACAGCACAGGAACAGGCCCTTCGGCCCACCAAGACTGTGCTGACACGACACCTTTCTAAACTAAAAACCTTTTGCCTCCACACAGTCCTTATCCCTCTATTCCCTGTCTATTCATGTATCTTTCCAGATGCCTCTTAAACATTGCTATTGTATCCATCTCCAGCACGTCTTCAGGCAGTGCGTTCAGACACTTGCCACCCTCTGCCACACTTGCCTCTCTCATCTCCTTTAAACTCCACCCCCCCCAGCCTCACCTTAAATTCATGCCCCCCTAATATTTGACATTTCCATCTGGGAAAAAGACTCCAACCATCCACCCTACCCATGCCTCTCATCATTTTAAATACTTCTATCAGATTGACCTTCAGCCTCCGACCCTCTAGTGAAAACAATTAAAGTCTGTCCAACCTCTCTTTATAGCTAATACACTCCGAACCCACTTGATTGGGAGCAATGAGAGGGGAGGCAATAGCCTAGTGGTATTATTGTTGGGTTGGTAATCCAGAGACCCATATAATGTTCTGGGGACTTGGGTTCGAATCCCGCTAAAGCAAATGGTGGAATTTGAATTCAATAAATATCTGGAATTAAGAGACTAATAGTGGCCATGAATCCATTGCCAATTGTTGGGAAAAACTCATCTAGTTCACTAATATCTTTTAGGGAAGGAAACTGCCATCCTTACCTGGTCTGGTCTACATGTGACTCTAGCAATGTGGTTCAGTCATAACTGCCTCCTGGGCAATTAGGGATGGGCAATAAATGCTGGCCTAGTCAGCGACGCCCTCATCCCGTGAATGAATAAAGGAAAAAAAGTATCAAGGCAACATCCTGGTAAACGTTTACTGCATGCTCCCCAAAGCCTCCACATCCTTCCTACAGTGCGGCAACCAGAACTGCACACAATACTCCAAATGTGGTCGAAGTAAAGCTTTATACAGCTGCAACATGACTTGCCAAGTTTTATACTCAATGCCTTGACCAATGAAAGCAAGATTGCTGTATGCCTTCTTTACCATCTTATTCACTTGTGTTGCCACTTTCAGGGAGCTATGGACCTGCATCCCAAGATCAACGCTCCTAAGGGTCCTGCCATTTACTGTTCTTATTAAGTTGTGTCGAGTGATCGTGAATTGGAAGGCAGGAAGCTAGAATTTGTTTGTAAAAATGATAAGGGAGAAGAGTACGTGGTTCCTTTAGGAGGAAAAGGGCTTTTCTAAGCTTAGAGATTTATACAGAAAATGTGTCTAAGCAGCTGAAGGGGGTACAGACAATTCTGAAATTGAAACATTGGCTGTATGATTGGAAACCTTAGGTTTGTTTTGATGTTTTGGCAACGAGCTGGAATCAGCGAATTAATTTAAACCAAGCACTTAGCGACTGAAAGCAAATTGAATTTAAATATGATGGTTTTGACAACTTCGGACCAATGCCATTGTAAGAAAATTGATATGTTGTCCAAGGTATATAAGGAGAGGGTTTTTGAAAATCGGTGTGAGAGCGAACCACCATTTGAGAAATAAGCATTTCGCTCCCACAAGAAATCGCTGAGCTCTCTAAGAAAGCACCATCTATCCATAAAAGGTACCACGGCACTTCTAGCTAAAGAGTCCTCACAGAAGACTTCACGGAGAAAACATCCCTGACTGCCCAATCAGCGGAAGAAAGGTGTTTACGACTTGAGAACAGCAGAAGAAAAGCATGTAGGCTTTGAAAGACTAAATTCTAATTTATTTTCTTATTACTTGTGTTTATATAAGTGGGACTTGTGTTTGTTGGAACAACATGCTAGTACAATTTAGTTCAGCTAGGGAATAGTTAGTCGTTAAGGGGTAATTGTTTGGTTTGTTAGAAATTCTGTTAATTTTTTCACTGTTAGGGTTAAATAAATAAATTATTACTTATAAAGTGAATCTCCAGGACTGTCTTTCATCTAACCTTCTGTTCTCCTTAACAGTTTTAACAGATTAGGCAAGGTGAAGTGAGCTTCTCTGGGTGTTTCGGGTTTAATTATTAGAAGGGGACCTTTACTCACGCTGTAATAGATTGGTGGCTTGTGTTTCAATTTTAATTCACAGAGGGGTTCGACATCACCCCTTCCTAACACTGTGTACTTTCCTCTTGTACTTGGCCTGACAAAATGCATTACCTCACACTTGTCTGGATTAAACCCCAACTGCTATTTCTCCAACCAGCTCTGCAATGGATCTATATCCTGCTGTACCCTTTGGTAACCTTCCTCACTGTCCACAACTCCACTACTTTTGGTGTTGTCTGCAAACTTACAAATCAGACCACCAACGTTATCATCCAAATCATTGATATAAATTACAAATAACAGCAGTCCCAGCACTGATCCTTGCAGAACACCATTGGTCATGGAGCTCCAGCACACTAACAGCATAGTCAGTCCACCGAGAGCACATGGACTGCAATGGTTCAAGATGGTGACTCACTGCCACCTTCTCAAAAGGTCATTAGGAACTGGGTAACAAATGGTGGCCCAAACAGTGACAGCCACATCCCGTGAAAGGAAAAAGTCGAGAGAAAGAGTTTACAAATTGAAAATGATGACAGGGGACGCGTGAGAAAGAGAAAGCTTTCCCTGTATTCTGTACCTCGGTGAAATCTGGCAGATTGGACAGTGGGCATCAACATAATTACATCGCCCATCAGCTCAAGGTGCAAATCTCGGATCCTGGTCTTGTCTTGTACATCACCCATATACTCATCAATGGTCAGCTTCAGGAAATCTTCATTAACCTGTACATGAAGAAATGAGGAAATGGAGGCTGTGTTAGAGAGTATATGTTGATGTGTGGAGAATTCTATTCAATAGGCTTCATTGAAATGAGCTAAAATGAACTGTGGAATTCAAAGGCAACAGGGAAAGAACCCCTAGATCCAGAAGCCTGTTCCCTCTTTGACACATCTCCCTGACTCCACTTTAATGACCGTAATGGGAGGAATGCGCTTTAAATCAAGACCCACTTTTCTACCCGTCTCATCATAAGTATTAATGTGCTGATTCAATCACCAAAATGCCCAATTGCTTTTTGTTTGTATTTTTTCCTTAATTCATTTAAACTGATCAGTTTAGATTAGAACAAGAACTAACTCGTCAAGCAAATGGCAAACTCTGGCTAATTCCCAGCATTAAAGCTACATCCTCTCAACTTCAAACACAGACACAAAAAGCCAAGTCACTTTGGGGATGAGGGATTTTTCAAATAAAGTAAAAGGGAAGATCAACGCCTGATAGCCAAGGGTCTGGAAACAATGGATAGAATGTGATGGCTTCTCACTTTCACTTGATTTCTTGTCGAAGCTGAATTGCTGACAGCTATAGACAGATGGGAAATGTACTGTTCCGAATCCATATCAACCTGGATTCCAGCCTTCAGAACCTGGTCACAATCTAGGGTTTTCAGATATTTGGAAATACTATCCAGTTCCCAGGAACTTCCACTGAGAACAGGATTTCAGGAAAGATAACAGCAGTTTCTGAGGTATCCTGCTGACTGACTCCTGGATCTGTAAAACAGGACTCTAAGTTCAGAAAGGGTTGGTAGGAACCCTCAGCTTTGACACCGCTCATCGTTTTAAACTCTGGCTCTCCAGTTCGTAAGGTAAGAAAACCCGTTTCTTGTCTCCTTGAAAGCTTTACTTGGCTATTTTCTCAGAAGTCACTTGGTTTTCTGTAAACAGCAGATGGTTTCCTAAATGCAGACAATTGTCAACCTCACTCCTTAATAAGGCCCTGTTTAATCTGGAAAACACCCACCCCATTCCATATCGTCATTAAATGTAAATATGCTTTCCCAAAATGCCTCCACCTGTAGGAAAGAAACACCATTTCCAGATGTGTTTCATTATGATGTAGATGTGAAAACATTTTCTACATGAAACACAAAAATGTGGACTTATTAATTCATCTTCATTCACTTATTATACAAAGTCTATAGTTTCTTTAACTTTCTTAGTTTCTAAACCATTCCATATCATTACATCCTTGAAGGTGTACCAGCAATGACATTTATCTTTTCCAGCAATATGAAAAGTCTTTGATATATGGCTGAATTAGCAAACTCTGCCAAAGCAGTCCAGCATTTTGATGTTTACACTTTTTAACGAAGGGAAAGGAATTATTTTCAGTGTGTGTCGTGTTTATTTCTGATTGTGATGTACATAAAACTTCGCAATATCGAAGTGTTAGTAAAAATCCTCAGAGACTCTTATTCTATTACAGAATATTTGTTTAGATGCTGATTCAGTTTCTGAGAAAAGTGCCCAATTGGCTTCTATGCCCAATTCATTTTGTTTTAAGACCACAGCCAGCCCCAAGTCATCAATCGCCATTTTAAAAGGTTTGCTGAATTCAGGGGCAGCCAACAATGTTCATTTGTCAGATTTGCCTTAATTTTCGCAAAAGTTGAATGGCACTCTTTCAGCTACATTACTTTTGCCTCCTTTTACAATAAGTATGTCAGGAGAGCAGCTGCTTTGCTGAAGTTTGGCACTAACTTGTCAATAAAATCCAAACATTCTCCAAAATCTCAAATTCCTGATTCGTATGAGGAATGAAAATTCTATCAAACCCTTTACTTTAGAGGGCTGTCCTATTCACATGCCCAACTTTAGATGGCATTGGCAACACTTGCCTTTGCCCTATGACGTGTCCTAGGTAGGTCACCCACGTTTTTGCAATCTCACTCTCGGTAAGACCAATCACTAGATCAGCAGCTATGGCTTCCAACTGTGTCACTTCTTCTTCCCAGATAGCGTTGTATATTAACACACGATCCAGTAATCCAAACAAACAACCGGGGACACTTGTTAGGAAGTAGCATATAAATGTTTGGAAGGAACTGAAAGTACCTTTAACCCCAAATGACATGACCTGACGTTACTGTAGCCCATTTGGTGTCACAGAAGTTGATGTCTCTTTCGCTCTTGACATCAATGGGACTTGCCAACAGTCCTTTGATAAATCAATCTCAGTAAGGAATGAGCCCTGTCAACCCTATCAATATAGTCTTCTAATCAAGGAATTAGGTATGAATTTGTTTTTGTTAATGCATTTAATTTCCTGTAACCTGTGTAGAATCTAGTCAACCAGTGATACCACTGGAGAACTCGAACTCCTTTAACTAGGTTCAATCAAATCATTTTCTATCATATATGGAGTCTCCACTTTCAGCTGAGTTTGCTTCTCTGGATTAAATCAATAAAGGATACTGTTTTATTGGGGCAGATTCCCCTTCATTATGATGTCTGGCTGAAATTTTGGACCCCGGATTGTCTTTACAGATTTCCTTCAATTCCCTAAGTAACCCAAGATAAAACCTGATACATTAATCTGAGGAACCTCCAGTAGCAAAACCCATCTGGATCAATAACGCCCTTCAGGGAAGGAAACGGCCATCCTTACCTGGTCTGGCCTACATATGACTCCAGATCCACAGCAATGTGGTTGATTCTTAACTGCCCTCTGGGCAATTAGGGAGGGGCAATAAATATTACCTCACAGCAACGCCCTCATCCCATGAATGAATAAAGGAAATAACAGAAAATTGAGACCTTTTTCCCAGTCGTTGGGACAGTCATGGCAATTTCCTTTAATCAGTGGAGTCTGGCAGTATCTCTTTTGAACTCTCCCGAGTTTGTGGATGTTACCATACCACAAAATCCCTCCAGCTCACAGAGAACATTCAGCCCATCAAGTCTGTAGCTCCAAAGAGCATCCCCACCCTTTCCTCGTAACCTTGCTTTTTACCGTGGCTAATTAACCTAACCTGCACATCTTTGGACTGTGGAAGGAAACCACAGCATCCAGCAGAAACCCACACAGTCACAGGGAGAACGTACACAATCCACACAGACAGTTGCCCGAGGGTGCAACTGAACCCAGGACTCTGGTGCTGTGAGGCAGCAGTGCTAACCACTGAGCTGCCTGTACTGTGGACACAAATCTTAGATATAAAATTCTAGTTGTCCATAATGAATAAAAAAATTGAGTATGTTTTTCCGCCACTATTTTAGATGCAACTGTCCACAAACAAGTGACCTCTGGGATCCAAGTTATCATTCCCACAATTGTAGGAATATACTGCTGCCCCACTTTTGTTTTTGCTAACAGTCTTCCACAGTCGACTAGGACTTTACTGAAGGGTTCCTGAAAACTCAGTGTAGGCCTTAAAGGTGTTGGTTGATTGGAGGTTGCAGTTTACCAACTGTTTGGCATGGTGACCTGGCCAGTAAAAGTGCCAGTTTATCAACGCTTGAGTTTTCTGTATTCCTACATGCCCTTTCGTGGCAATTTCATGTTCTACCTGCGATATCACTTTACGATATCTGGGTGGTGCCATTACCTAATGAACTACTGCCCACTCTTCATTTGCAACTCTGGGAAGAAATCTCTAGGTCTTCATCAAATTGGAATGGAAATCCCTCAGCCTCAGTGCAGCTTGATTGTGCTAACCAGTGTAACTCCACATCTACTTGTAGAGTTACACTTAAAGAAGGCTTACCAAAAACTTCTTCTGAATTATTCACAACTTTAGAGTAGGCTTCGGTGATCCTAATGTCTGCTTGTGGGATCAGTTAGATCTCTTGTCATGGGCTGGGTTTAGCTATTACTCTGGTCACTGCATGTAAAGGAAAATTGTTGGAAACTTCTTCTGTCTCATTCAGTTCACTCAGACTTTGAGATTGTGGGTGAAGTGACAACTTTTGCTCAAATCAAATCATTCCTTAGGAGTAAATCAAACCTTTCTATAGGTAAACTCTGAACAACCCCTGCTGTTGCTGCTCTAGTGGTGGCTAATTAAACAACTCACTGGAGGAGGAGGCTCCACAAATATCCCCATCCTCAATGATGGAAGAGCCCAGCACATCAGTGCAAAAGATAAGGCTGAAGCATTCGCAGCAATCTTCAGCCAGAAGTGCTGAGTGGATGATCCATCTCGGCCTCCTCCAGTGGTTCCCAGCAATACTGGGACCTGTCTTCAGCCAATTTGGTTCACTCCACATGATATCAAGAAACGACTGGGGACACTGGGTACCGGAAAGGCTATGGGCCCTGACAATATTCCAGAAATAGTACTGAAGGCTTGTGCTCCAGAACTTGCTGCTCCCTTAGCCAAGCTGTTCCAGTACATTCAAAGTTTTAGCAAAGATTTGTAGCTTGGGTTGTGGGTGAGGTTGTTGACTTGCTCACCGAGCTGCCTTGTTTTCGTTCAGACGTTTCGTCACCATGCTAGGTGACATCATCAGTGGAGCCTTCGATGAAGCGATGTTGTTCTACTCCGCTTGGAATCTATACTGTCCGGTCCGTTATGGTGAGTAGTGTCATTTCCAGTTTCGATTTATATGGGTTTGTATATAGGGTCGAATTCTATATGTTTGTTGATTGCCTTACAGGTTGAGAACCATGCCTCCAGGAATTCACTCACAAGGATTAAAGATCCCATTCCCACAACATGCAGAACCAACGTGGTTTACAAAATACCCTGCAACGACTGCCACAAACATTACATCGGATAGACAGGAAGGAAACTAGTCATCAGAATACATGACCACCAGCTAGCAGCAAAATGACACAATGAACTTTCCCTAATATCAGTATACTAAGACAATGAAGGCCATCAGTCTAACTGGGACAAGGTAACCATAGTAGCCCAAGCCAAACATAGACACGCATGGAAAGTCCCAGAGGCATGGTTCTCAATCTGTAAGGCAATCAACAAACATATGGAATTGGACCCCATACGGAACAAAACTGGAAATGACACTACTCACCATAACGGACCAGACAGTATAAATTCCAAGCAGAGTAGAACAACATCGCTTCATCGGAGGCTCCACTGATGATGTTACCTAGCATGATGACGAAACATCTGAACGAGAACAAGCCAGCCCGGTGAGCCAATCAACAACATCTTCCAAACCCATGAACACTTCCACCGAAAAGGACAAGAACAATAGATATGTGAGAACACCACTACCTTCAATTTCCCCTCCAAGCCACACACCATCCTGACTTGGAAATATATCGCCATTCCTTCACTGTCACTGGGTTAAAATCCTGGAATTCCTGTTCTAACCCCATTGTGGGTCAACCCACAGCACATGGACTGCAGCGGTTCAAGAAGATAGCTCACCTCCACCTTCTCAAGGGCAACTAGGGATGGGCAATAAATGCTGGGCCACCAGCGATGCCTATGTCCCACTAGTGAACAAAACAAACTCAATTATACTGAACTCTGATCACTCACTAGTTGGAACACCTCTTCCTTCTGTATTTCCCAAATGCTGTGTCAATACAACAATTTTCTGTGCCTTTTCACCTTTGCAGGCAGCTCCACTACCCATTCTAGTTGCTTCACTTTAGTTAAATCTTGTAATCCAGTCAGGAGGATGCATCCTCCACCTGGCGCAAAGTTGTAACCACATGCAATTTCATTTTGGTTTTATACTCAGGGAAACCTGGTTCTTTTATCCTTCACCAATTACTATTACTCCATGTCCAGCTTCATGGTGTCCATATCTAAGATTCCATTCCTAGCTCCTCTGGTTCTAGACACTGAGAAATTCAATATTCAGCAGGCTTACTGCCATAGAGACAGCACAACACTGATCACCATTACATTCCACCATACTAATTCGGAGCAGGGGTAGGCCCTCAGCCCCTCAAGCCTGGTCCACCATTCAGGATGATCTTGGCTGATTGATTATTTCATATTGCTGCCTATCCCTGAAAACCTTTCACCACCCCTTCAATTGCCTATCAAAAATCTATCCACCTGTGCCTTAAAAATATTCAAAGAATCTGCTTCCAGTAGGTTTTCAGGAAGAGAATTAGAAAGACTCACAACAGTCAGTGAGAAAACAGTTATTATCTTAGTCGTAAAAGAATGACCCCCTTATTTTAAAGCTGTGACCCCGGGTCGAGATTCTCCCATAATAGAACCATCCTCTCCACATGATCAGCAGCAGATATGTTTCAATCAAATCACTTGTACACTTCTCATCTCCAACGCATACAAGCTGAGCCTGTCTAACCTTTCCTCAGGAAGGCAGCCCACCCCACTCCAGGTATCAGCCTGGTAAACCTTCTCTGAACTGCC